ATTTGTTAAAAAGGTGCTTTTGGTCTTTTGCCTACAGGGAGGGCATGAAGTGACTCAAAACGGATTTTGTAGTAGCCTTATACACCTAGGATTGTATTTGTCTCCAGTTCTCTCCCTGGGTTAGGTGCAAAAGCAGGCAAGAGTAGAAGGAAAGGTAGAGTAACATTAAAAAATACGTTATGGGCTTGTCTTTTTCTGCGGAAAGTCTCCGAGTTAGATGCAGGAGCATAGTTGAGGCATGCACTGCCTGGCACAAAAAATGCGTGTAGTGAAAAGAATAGCAGGGATGTTAGAGATGGAAGTGTGTGGTACGGATATAACGGCGACAAACAGAAGTGAAGATTATACACGGAGATTTCTCGATGATAGGAATCATGCCCTTCGGGAGCACTATGCCGAATCACTTTGTAAAATTTATCAATTCGGTAGTGGTTTCTTACTATACTGATCCCCCTTGTACCCTGCAAATGCCCTACCCCTTGCGGTATTCTTGGGAAAGGTATAAATCATTGACCTCACGATGGGCATTCACTGGAATGCAGCACTAACTGAGAAGTGCAACCACTCCCCAGATAACAAGAACTTTGCACTAGATTATTGACAAATACAGATGTTGTATTCCGACGACTCGTACCGTCACCAAAGTACTGCAGAGGAATTACTACCTACAAGGAAGCGCTAAAGACCGAAATCGAAAAGAATAACCCCAGAGCTAGTGAGCTGAACGAGGAAGGGGCACAGAATTCACTTCTGCTTTGGCCGATGTAAAGGAGACTGTGTAGCAATCTGAGGCGGAATTAATGCTCTCACTTCCCATCACCAACACACGCTGTGCTTCACTTCGGTTCGTGAGGCGAAACTGGTCTCTTACTCCGGCCTGTACAGTAATGTTCATCGCTAACGATGAGACACAAACTACAAACAAGTTATCTCTGGACTTATTAAGTGGTCAGAAGGAAGCGAAACTCTGACTCTAATCAAACTTCAGCAGAGATCATCTAAGTTGCCATCAGGACAAAAGTGACTACTGATTAGGTGGTTGCTGGATAATTTTCTAGACATTCTACCCCCACTTGCGGACGTCAGGGTAAACCCCCTCGACGTAACTTTCAATAGCAAGCCCACATGTGAGCGTTTCATCTGAGCAACAACTCGTGTGTTTAATTCTTCTCTACTTCATTAAGTACCTTAACTTGCGTTCGAGTTTTCTGAGTGCTAGTCGCTGTGATTTAGTTAATGTCAGTTGAGTTCTGCCTAAGTCAGGGTATGAAAGATCTTGCTGCATCGCTCACAATGACTTGGCTTTATATCCTCAACCACTCAATCAGCAGGCAGTATTGGCCCACGTAAAACTCAGATGAGTTCTGCTGAAGCGTCTTTGAATGCTGAGTCCGACTCCCTGGATAGGATATACTAGGTCTCTCATCAGTTGGCTCGGCAGTTCCTGCTCCATCGTTGACACTGGCCTTTACTGCGTAAGCTGAAAACACACACATCCGCTTACAACTCGTCCTTATCTCGCCTGCACTCCAGAGCAAATTGTCTCATTTCATGGACATTGACGGTGGGCAGTTGGACGGATAAGGCTACAACAGAAAGGACCGACTGATTTAATCTCTTGTGTACGTAGGCAGGTGTCAATTTATGCAGGAAAGGCGCCAGGATCTTCC